TTGTATTTATTGTTATATCAGACAAAAACTACAGTTTTTTTGCGTGTAATTAGGCTATTTATTACATTATATAAAACTGTTAACCTCTAATAACAAAACAAAGAACTCCTATAAGGAGAATTAAAAATAATACACAGGCCTACTTTAAAATAAATTAAACACAGCACTTGGGGATCCTCTGCACATTTGAAGGAAAAACAATATTATTAAAATGGGCCCACTTTGAAATAAATAAAGCATATAGCTGCACCCTAAAAAGAGTTAAAGGTAGGGTAGGTAAGAATGGAGAAACCAGCTCGAGTGCGCTAGAATTTGAAAATACACAACCGGAAAAAATATGCCTAATTCCTTCAGACTTCCTTACAGAGCCCCTCCTCCAACGCGCACATGACGAATGACACACGACCATGGGATAAGTTTGTGCACAGATGGAAGGCTGACAGACAGGTAGGCCATCCAGGTATTTTAGCCGGGCCGGCTCAGATGATTGGTCGTGCTTTTTACAGGACTACGGCTTCCAGGGATACATTTTTGTATGTATTTATTGTCAAAGCATTTAATATATTCATTGCTATCGGGACGTTAAGAGCATTCCATGGAATATAACAAAAAGTGTTTTCTGAAATAAATTACATACCCCATTGAATTATGACTGAAGATTGTCAGCTGTCTTCCTCTCCCTTGTTGTTCCTCGATACGTAAAGGCTGCAGCACCTTGACAACTTCTCTATACACATCAAACATACCGGTAAACCAGCATCGTTTGCTGTGAAAGCATATAACTCTGTCCACACAGAATTTAATTCCTGTGTTCCTCCGGTACTTTTCTTTGATTTACCCATAGTTCGCTCATCGAGCCGGGGGTCAGGTTATTCACCCGCAGGAAAAGGCGCTCGCGCGGGACCGTAGCAGGATGTGACGCATATTTTAGTTGACCTAATTAAAACCGTTTTGTTTTTTATTTATGTGTAACAGTATCACCTCAAAATACAAGATACGAAACATTTTCAACCATGCAACAAAATATAAATAGTCCTACAAATACTTTTATTTTATTTCCTTCTTATTTTTGTCTAAGCTCAAGGGAGCCAGAGCAGAGGGCTTAAAGGGCCGAATGCGGCCCGTGGGCCGCGGGTTGCCGACCCCTGTACTAGATAGTTCCAGGAAATAAAAGTTCCGGGGAAAAGTTCTGGGAACTATTCCTGGGAAAAGTACTTGGTGTGAAAGCGCCTATTGTGTTCTTTTAACCAAATATCTCTCAGAGGGGCGCTGGGAGTGGCACCTCATTTTCATCTAAAGTAGACAGAGAATCAGCACTTTTGAAACAGGGCTGAAACAGAGGGGTTTATGGGGCTGTACAATGCATGATCTGTTGGGTATTTCGAGCCAAACACTTCAGACATGTTTTGTATATAACTGATAACTATAATATATTGATAAAAAACAATATAATAGTGGACCTTTAATATCAAACAATCCCACTTGGGGTCTTCAAACTGGGGTATTCTAACAGTTTTAGATAATCACACTGTTTGTAGCCAGCCACAGTTGAGCAGTGTTGCATGTTATGATTGATTTTTGGGAGTCCACAGAAAGCTTTACTTTAGTAAATATGGACAGTGCCAATTATCTGTCCATTAAACAAATCATCAACTTAATTAATTCCCATTTAGGAAGTGGAGGCACTTATCCAGCCAGATAACTGAAAAATGGACAAGGATTCAGAGTCTATTGGGATATCTGGTAGTATTTTTAATTGTTTAAGTGACCAAGAAGAACCATATCTATATATTTTTATTTTCTTCAACACTCAAATTACACTCACAATATCTGATGTTTTTTCTGATTTACAGTAAATCATGTAAGTGTAACTATGTGTTGCAGTTCAAAACCTGAAAGCATTGTAAGGGTAAAACATTTTCTCAATATCAACTACACATACAAGTTCCAAATTGAGAACTGTCGCTCCTTTCAAAGTCAGATCATTGTTTTTTCTTTCCTTCTCTTAACAAGAAGAAAGTTGTTTTTTGTGCGACATATCAGACAGACAATTACCAACTTGCCATAAAACCGAGTCCCTCTCCTTTCTGCTGTCTCATATCAATTCAAGAAATCAAGCTGAATAAATAGGAAATACTGAAGAACTAAAAGTTTATTGGTTTGTTTCTTCATTGAAAGCCGATGAGTTAACAAGTATTATGCTAGCCAGCCGTAAAGATGCCAGTGGTAATCAGCCTCAATAGTTCAACATCTTCGATGGCTTTCTTAGGTCGCATTCACACCTAATAATTAAATAAATAAATAATAAAATGTAATAATAATAAAACACAAAAAATAATTCACACCTTCTCTGTTGCGCACCAAACAACAGTTTGCGTTCGGTTTGCATTCACACGGGCAAAACTCAAACTATAAACTTTAAACACAAGTCATGCGCACGGAAATGCTGTTCAACAATTGTTCAGACATTAAGGGGGTAAAAACGCAAATCCCGGCAATTTCTACCGGAGCCTCCGCCATGGAGCATCGGCAGGTTATTTTCATACTGCTGTTAATGGAGCTGAGAGCATATCAACAGACTCTAGCTGAAGGCTCATCAGACAACGTGCGAAAAAACATTATAACACATATAATGAGAGATGTTCAGCAGTAAGGCGGAGGTTTCACCAACGACAGGTGGCTCTGACTTTTATGTATAGTTGACGGATCATTTTTACTTTACACGACACTGTTCAACAATTCCTTCTGCTTCACTCTTTCGCTAAAGATTTTGAAGACATCCGGGCTCTTGTGTTACGTTAATCCTACGCTTCCTGTGTTTTGGTGCGGACTGCGTTCAAACCAGCGATGAACCGCTCCAGAGTTCACTAGCAAACTGTGTTCACACCGAACAAAACGAACCGCTAACCCAAAAGTCTATTGTGGACGGAATAAGGAATTTTAAATGCATTTTCTCTTTAAATAATGAAAGTATTGTAAATGAATCAAAGCACCACTACTGTGAATTAAACCACATTGGGAGTTGACTGCAATAATTCAAAGACATTTTTAGGTGTTGTGCTTTTATTTGATAGTTGTAAAGTATAAGACTAAAGACGTAGTAGCATTATTTGGAAAAGGAGCTCTTTGCATTGTTGCAAGAAATTAGCTCAAGACATACTAAACGTAAGTAAGATACGTTCTGACTCTTCGCTAAAAAGGTCAGAAAAACTTTCATGCAGAATGAGCTCTATGGAATCACTGCAGTCTTTCAGTACGGTTTCTTTTATACCAGTGTGGTAGTGTGCCAGAGTTACACACATTGTGTCCTCATCAAACCTGTCATAAAATGATTCATTGGCATGATGAACAGCGGGGAGCTTTCATTTGATGCCATTGGCCATTAATTGACATTTATAGAACAGCGCCTTTTAAAGCACTCCAGCTGGAAAACTTTGTGAGCGTCTATGGAATAAATGTGGACAAAGAATATGGCAAATAGCTGAAAAAATGAGGACTGCATCATTAAAAATAAGAGATGATTAAGAGTTTTCTAACTGCCTGAGGAAGATCATCTTTGGGATATCTCTCATGGAGTTAATTTTAAAGGAGAGGAGCAAAGAGGATTCTCCAATGAATTAAAAAGGCATGACTTTAATGAACACATGATTGAATCAGTGCCTTTCTGTCTGCAGGAGCATGCCTCTGCCTCGACGGCTACATGAAGGACCCGGTCCATAAGCACCTCTGCATCCGCAGTGAGTGGGGGCCCAATCAAGGGTAAGTTCTAATAATCACCTCATGATGCTTTATGATGCTCATTATCAAGCAGAGAGAATGGTAGAAAACTCATTTACAACAAGGGAATCCTCCTACACATCCAACAAGGCCATCCATTTGGTTCAACAGATTAATCAAACGGAGCTGTGATGTTGCCAATGCCAATTCATTTTCTGTATCAGACAAGCTGCAGGAAGTATATATTCATACACAACTAAACACATAGATTATTCATAAAATACAGAGTTTTAGTGCTGTAACACTTCTTTATTAAAACGTAAGCTAATAGTTATTTTTTACTGTAAACAAACAATATGATAAAGATTAGGTGTTAAGTAATTATAAATGATACTAAAATTAATTTTATTTTACCATTAGTTTGTGTAATGTGATAATGTGTTCTCCATGTCTTGACAAGTGTTATTGTAGGTTAAGGTTAGGTTAAAACTGTAGCATTGCTTTAATTATGTTCTGTCATGGTCAAAGCACTCTTTGTTATTAAATGTCCTTCACAAACAAATTAAACTTAATTTGAACTGACCTAAAGGTTTAAAGCTTTCAAAGAAGCCATACTAACTACATCGTAATGCCTGGCTGAACGCATCACAATGCTGTGCTTTGTATATCTATTTGTAAACTCTGGTAATCCAGCAATTTAATGAATATTTTAATTGTCTGAGAAGTACTGCACGAATGAAGAGTAATTCCATCTTTATGTTTTAAACTGTTGGAGTTCTTTTTAACCCATTATACGACACAGTCCTAAAAAGACAGTTGTATGTACTTTAGTACCATTATGAAATCATTTTTTAGGTTGATAGTGAGTCAGTAGAGTTATTGGAGCTTTATCAACCTTTTGGGGCTGCCCATTTCTTTAGGTGCAAGGTCACTTCCTCTATATTACAAAAAATGATTTCAACTGATTACTTGATACCTCTTGGCATTAACAAACGCTGTTTCAGGCCCCATCCCGGGAAGTCATATAAACGCTTAATTGGGTTCACATCTGCTGTTTAAAAAGTCCTTGACATTTGGCTAACACCCCAGCCACAGTGCCATACACCGGGTCACCACTCAAGGTGCCACTGTCCCAGAGAGTTCTGCTCACATCAATAAGACAGTAGTGTGGAGGTACAGGGGAGTTCCCACTTATATCCCACAAACCATGCGAGAATAACGAGATTATGATGAAATGAGTTTAATTCTACACAATAATTCTACCATATACTGTAAAAAGATACACATTTTTTAAGTGTCAGAGGTTGTTCCATATTACTGATACCATGATATCAATGTGATTTTATATGATTGTTATTACATTTTTGGATGAAGCACCACTTTTTGTCCAATATTTATTTACAGAAAACAAATATCCAAGACAAATAATTGATTTGTGAACCATTTTCAAGTATTGAAAATTATTTATAGAAATGTTTCATCAAATAATGTGCAAGTGTACAATGATATAAGCATGTAACCTAATTGATCACTTGCTGAAAAGATAATGGCAGGCAACAATTAGGAAATAAATACAAGCAATAACATGTTGTGATTCAGAATCACCGAAAGAAACATACCAAAAAGTCACATACAAGTGTTCATTAAGATTTAATTCATGAACAGTTTACTGTAAATGCACAATAAATACATTTTGATTAACAGTTTACATATTATTAAATTCTTCATTATTTCATCACTCTACAATTATAATGTATTCCAGATAACATTTCAAGTGTGTCATGTATTCCGTTTTACCATTATTTACTGTATTTAGATGAATGACCCCGTAATGATTTATTTAGATATTTATCTGCAACACTGCCCAAGTTGCCAGCAAATTAGTTATCAAGCTCAAAACACACAGGAAAGATGATTGAAACAGGTAAAATATGATATGGGAAAACAAATACTCAGAACTAAAGCATACTATTTTAGATATCACTTCCTTTGTTACCCATTCCGACCTGAGTGAACGTTCAAAACACAGAATTATTGTGGTCATCATCTGAATGTTTCCGTTAGACCACCCTACTGTGCCCCCTCTGTATCTCATTTCCACGGCGCTCTCCCTGTGTCCCCTGTCTCTGCGTGACAGAGTGGGCACCCTGGGGTGACCTAAATGTTTAATGACCACAGCCTGTGGCATGGAGGTGTCTCTCCCTCTTCCCCGATGTTCTTTTGGCTTACTGTAGTGTAGGAGTTTTCTCAAAATGACATCGGGACCCTGTCACTTCTCCTCCTCATACTCTCACTTTGCAGACTGTTTAGTCCCCGAGCTGCCACTCCCCATTAATCTCCATCATTCTCCCTCTATCACTTCTGCCTCTTGGTATCAGCCTCCTCCCCTCCATGTTCCTCTCTTACTCTCTCTCTGAGTTTTTTTCCCCTTGTCTGTTCTCTCTGTCACCCTCTTCCTCACCCCACCCCCCACCCCCCCGCTCTGTGCCCCTTCTCCCATTCTGTCATCCTCTCTTGTCCCCTCCCCTGGGAAACAGATATGAGCCAAAGTCACATTGCATGTCAGCTGCTGCAGAACACATTTTTCAATCAGCATGTTTACACAGAGCACACATCGTAAAGCTGCTTGTGATTTTTCGGGGGCTCCGGAAGGCGGGAATGACTCGAAGCGAGACACTGAAACACGGGCCTGTGATTTTAGCAGGGTTTATATTAGGAGGATGGGTGCACATCTCACTCTTTGATTTTAACACACAGTTTTATTCTCTCTCCTCTGTTTTTGTCTCTTCCTCTGATCTCTTCTTTTATCAATGTCAGTCCCTGGCCTTACACCATCTTCCAGCGCGGGTTTGATCTTGTGATGGGGGAACAGCCCTCTGATCGCATTTTCAGGTAAGGGTGAACTTCACAGAACTTTGTTTTTTTTATCCCGCTACATGTTTCCATGGTGCTGCACAAAAAGATTGCGCAGTCAAACTTCTCGTTATAACTCTGGTTGCGCTAGCTTTGATTTCTCTCTCTCTCATGATTAAGGGAGAATGGTGAGCTCTGGCTGTGGAACGCTTTCTGTAGCTATGTTTTGTTTTAGAGGTGTAATAGAATGGGAAATTAGTTGCTCAAATAGAAGAAGAACATGGGCCACTTTATTTCCTCTCAGGTCAAATAATCGTTACATTTTGATTAATTTTAGAGCAGTGAGTTTTTTGATTGATTAGAAAAGAGAATTCAATTTGGAAGACATAAATTAATTATCGGGTAATAAGAATTGTTTTGAAAGTGTGAGTCTCAATATCCTCAGCAATAGGACAACGGTACAGTTTTTCCTAAAAAAGGAGTCAAAAAACAGCGTAATCCAGTCTGTGTTAGGTCCGTGGCTATAAGGCCAAAGAAGAAAACGACAACGTTTAAGATTACCTTTTTGCTCTTTTTGCCTTTTTCTTTTTCTTTTTTTCTTCTATATTAAGGACTGCAGATGTAACAGTCAATACAACATTTTTCACATTTCCTGGTTCTGGTTTTCTTATTACAGAGAATTGCAAATACCCCTCTTTTACATATAAGAAAAAAATCAGACACCCTCACAAGAACTGGAAAGTTGGTTGCCTTTTTTTAATAGTACAGCCAAAGATGCACGGAAAAGGGCAAGACAGAATGTAACTTGAAAACGTGAGCTGCTGGGTGCCAAATACATACATATTCAAACAGTAAAAAAATACCTGTTTGGTCCACATGAAGGCCATGTCACAACGTACATTGTTGATAGACATGTTACCTGTATTAAACGGACTCAGAGCAACATTGACATCCCTTTGGACTTGTGTTAGTGCCGACCCAACACATGCAAGTCCAGCCACTCTCCTTGCAGCTGGGTATTAGTATCGAATGACACCTAAAGGGGGCTGCCTAATGCTCCACAAACAGAAAGAAGCTAAAAGACTCTTGTATGCTTCGTGCCCAGCACCAAACAGCAGACAGGCACAGTTAAGAAACTAACTGGTAAATAGAGTGAAACACTTAGCTGCCAGATTCTCCTCACTGGAGTTGGTGGACAGCGAGGCGAGACAAAAATACCTGCGTACCTTATGGAAAGTACCAGCAATTTAAATTTTAAAAGTCAAATGTGACACTGCGAGACAAAGATCTCTCTTAAATCCAAAGTGGCGGCTGGTGGAAAATATTGTTGGTGGGGCTATGGAAATAGGGACCAAACCATACTAGGGCACTCCGGGGGGGATCCTCCCCGGAAGACATTTTTGAGAAATGACCCCTTAAATTATGACTTCTGGTGATGTTAGAGGGGGGGGGAGGACACATTGAGGCTTAAAAATAATTTTTAAGCCTCAATGTGTCCTCCCCCCCCCTCTAACATCACCAGAAGTCATAATTTAAGGGGTCATTTCTCAAAAATGTCTTCCGGGGAGGATCCCCNTTTAAGAGAGATCTTTGTCTCGCAGTGTCACATTTGACCTTTAAAATTTAAATTGCTGGTACTTTCCATAAGGTACGCAGGTATTTTTGTCTCGCCTCGCTGTGGTGTCATTCGATACTAATACCCAGCTGCAAGGAGAGTGGCTGGACTTGCATGTGTTGGGTCGGCACTAACACAAGTCCAAAGGGATGTCAATGTTGCTCTGAGTCCGTTTAATACAGNGTACAGTAGGCCCACACAAACTGCAGAAAACTGGTGCTTTGGGAACACTCAAATGATTTAATTCCCATTTAAAATCAGGAGACTAAACTGACACGAAGTGTGTGTGTGTGTGTGTGTGTGTGTGTGTGTGTGTGTGTGTGTGTGTGTGTGTGTGTGTGTGTGTGTGTGTGTCTGTGATATATCAAATATCGCGATATCGCGGTAAGAAAATGTCTCAATACCGTCGTGAGACCGACAAAGTATACCGCGATTTAAAACTTCTTTTTTTTTTTAATGACATTTTTTTAAATACATTTTTTTTTTTAAACCTTTATTCAACCAGATGGTTCCATTGAGATCATCGACCTCTTTTTCAAGAGAGACCTGTCCAACATGGCAGCAAGGTTACAAGGTGAACATAAAACAACAGATAACACAAAAGACATCATATTTACAGGGCTACATGTACATACCTAGAGACATTGATAACCAACAGTATATTTATATCTCGCCCTGTCAATAAGCCTCACCTTCTTGGCAAAAACTGTATAGTTCTTGAAGTGGTGGAGAGACAATGCACAGTTTTACCCACTGCTGTCACCCATGGACAAAGCATATCTCTCTGTCCCAGCAACATCAGTACCAAGCAAGAGAGTCTTTTCCACAGCAGGGGATATTGTAAACGCCCAAACATCCCAGCTTCTGCCTGGAAATGTGGACATGCTCATATTCCTAAAAGATAAACTTGATGGTGCTGAGTGAGTTAGTGAGTTAGAGTCGAGTTACTTGAAAAACTAAAGGGAAACTTGATTTATTCTATTGCAGGGTCTGATTATGATATTGCTGACACTTTAAAATACTACTATCCTCCTAAAATGCTGTACAAATCAGATTTATTATTTAATAAAGAAAAATAAATTCAAGTAAAAAAAAGAAAAAGAAAACACATTCAAATGTTTTCCCTTTATTTTTCAATATCGCGATAAATATCGTACCGTGGACTTTTTATCGCGATATTATCGTACCGTGAGTTTTTGGTATCGCTACATCCCTATAAAAAGGTGTGCAAATTTGTTGTCTGATTCCTGTATTTGTTAGCTATTTTCTGATTTAGCCCCTGTACAAAATGTTGAACTGTTTATTTGTGGTTGAGACCCAAAACTGACTTTTCAATATATTATTTTTCTGGTAGCAATAAAAAAACTCTTCAAAAATGCAAACAGTGATGTGCAGAGTAAATATGCAACTGTTGGCTAAAACCTTTCTAATGTCAACCTTTTTAACGTAATGATGACATTGGGGTTTTACACCTCGTTCCCCTGCCATCAAGGGGCAACAAATCTGTTACGCTGTTTTAAGAATGAAAACAAAATGTATCATCTTTAATAATTCAAGATTTGTGTAATGTGTTAACTCCGTTACAGTATTTCATGACATGGGTAAGGGTTAGTAAATATGCCTTAAGAAGAGCAAATATAGTTGTCAAGAAGGTCTTTGCTATGTTCATTGGTAGCCAGTTCACAAAGAAACAAACAGTAGAACACTTGTGTGTGCCAGATTTTTCTAACAATGTGTATAACTGTATTTTATCCCAAAATGATTTGTTTCCTGGCTTGAGACAGAGCAGATCTAACGGAAATGTGCTACTGCCTTCATTACAAGTATTTCCATGCAGCAAAAACAACAAAAGACAGTAGTTGATACTGCTTGCAATAAAAAGGAAACCCATAGAGTTTATCTGGCAACTGTAAGCATTGTGTTTATGTTATGAACAGACAGGAGGAGGCTGCCATCGTACTAATATCTCTAAGATACATTGCCCTCCCTGCTTGGATGTTTTTTGCACGAAGGCTTTTGCTTCTCACTCTGTCCAGGCGTGCAGTTTAAAATGTCTTTGTCCTCAGACTGCTCCAACCTAGCTATCCATCCTAATTCAAATGGTTCAGCCTCAAGCTTTGAACTTCGCCGAGCAACCCTGTCGGCTTCAGGCGCCGGAAAGAGACCTTGAATATCAGCAAGCATATTACCATAAAATAACAGGAGTCAATTAGGCAATTAGAATCACAGTGGTATAGAGAATAAATGATAACAAAGAAAAAAACAAGGATAGGCACATTTATCACGTGTAAGAAGAGAAAAGTGCTTAAAGTCAGCATTCAATCACACAGTGTTTGCCATTCGCACGATATTAACCACGGAGAATTCCTCTAAGGACTGCAAACATGTTTTCCACTCGACAACAGTTTTCTCACAGGAACTCTTAGTGTTATGCTCCTCCAGTTTCTCTCCAGGTGAACCATAGGTCATAAAGCAGCACACCAGTCCCTAGATGTCCATTATGAAGTGGTGCTTAGCGTCCGCTAAGTTGTCCTGTGGTCACACATATACGTCATACTGCTTCAATGGGGTTTTCATTTCCCGTGAAGTGACTCATTGGAGAAGTGGTAACACCTTTCAAATTATAATACGGAAATATTACATTTGTTTGGACTGCTTATTACTTGCTGGAACCAAGTGTTTTATAATACATGGAAGGAAGGCAGCACTCTGATCCACAGGACACTTGACTTTGAAACAAAGGAGGAGTAATTGGGTGGATGTAATTAAGTGTTCTATTTCCACAATGGTTTAATCCGTCTGTTCTTAAAGTGATTGGTAAATATGCAGTTCCCACAATCCACTGCCCTTTCCTAATGCTCAGTTGGCAATTCATTTAATGCAAATTCAATTCAATGGTGAAGGAGGAAATGTGTTTAGTCTGCATAAAAAAATGGTTGTTAACCATTTGAATCAACAAGTTCCATTCCATTGTGCTAAAAGTATTCATGAATAATTTATCAGTAGTAATAATGCATTTGATGTTAATCAGCATGCTCGGTTTGGCTTAAAGTCGGAAGTATTACTTTTCATCTGCAAAGTGTTTAAAGATTGATGATATTCATTGACTCACAACCAAAGAATAGTTTTAAAGCTTTTTGTTCCAGACATCTGTTGTTTACAGATTTATGGGCCTGTTTGGTCTCAGGGGAAGCTCTTATTGGCCCTTTTTTGTCAGGGTTTCTCATTTGGTATGCATTGCGTCCATTAGCACACAGTGTCCTTCTGCTCAAGAAAGAGTTATGCAAAAAGGATAACTTTGCTCAAAGGTAATATACATACCCTCTAAGCAACTCAACGCCATTATTCTAAAGCATTGAGGCAGCAAAGACATTTATCTTTGACAAGTAGATAATATGACGTCTCACGGTGGTGGTTTTTGCACTACAGGAAAAGTACTCCTTTGTAGATTACGTAAAGGGGAACTGCTTACATTTCTACACTTAAAGATCAGTGTGAGTTATTTTGTCGTAGTTTTTTATCTACGCCATGGAGGTTAAGTATTGGGCTTGGTTTGGTCTGTCTGTAAATGTTGAATATACTTTTCTACGTTTCCCGTCTGTCCACCACTCAATGCATTTTTACATACGAGCAGTGTTCACCCATTCACACTTAGGCAGAGGCTGCCATAAAATATACCACCTGATCAGAGAAACTCCCTCTAGCATGAACTTAAGGATTTTAGCATTTGCAGACCATTTATATGCACAAAAACCTATGTAAAACACTACAGGAAAGGGAACACTCCAGATAGCATGGTAGGGCCCCATTAAAAACAGCACAACAAGTTTGATGTGGTGATTCTTCCAAAAAGTGTACCAGTGATTTCTAAATTTTTTTTTCTTTGTTGCATTATACTAAGTTACCCTAGTTTATTGTATTATTTCAAACTAGAGCTAAAACCTGTGACCTTACCTGTCTAACTCACCCTTATTTCCCTCTGTAGATTCACATATACCTTAGGAGAAGGGATGTGGCTGCCGTTGAGTAAAAGCTTTGTCATCCCCCCCGCCGAGCTAGCCATCAACCCTTCAGCAAAGTGCAAGACTGACATGACAGTCATGGAGGATGCGGTGGACGTAAGGTGAGATGACATGTACTGGTACCACTTACCACACTTACTTCCCTGTGAGGACATTCCTGAGACATGATGACAGAAGCCCCCGCTAATGAAATAAAGGTTTTCATGAGGCTGTGAAGCAGGATAGAATCTTGCTGATTGTTGCATTAAACTGAGCTGTACTAAAGCTGCACAGAAAGGAATCTCTGCCCACTTTGTTTGGTTTTTGATGAAGCCTCACAAGACAAAGAAAGCACAAATCGGTTTTTCGATAAATATTCCTCACGATCATCTCTTTCATCCATCATCCTCTGGAATCTATCTGATACTCTCATACCGTCTCACTGATTTGTATTCTCACTTAATCATCGTTTGGTGTTGATTTACAATTGTTGCAGTGAGTGTTAAGCAGCCATGTGAGGTTGATGCTGAGGTGTTAGCGGTCATGATTCAGGGTAATAAAACTCAACACAAAATCAATTATAAAGACGCAGAAAACCCAGAGTGGAAAAAACAAGAATGAGAAGAAAGAATTGCTCTGCATTTCAAAGCCAAGAAGAGCATTGTGGTTGTTAAACGGTTCATAACTCCTCCAATGAAAATCTGTTCACTGTGGAACGACTCTGTTTTTGTCTGGGCTGCAGAGAGCCAAAACAATGCTGCAGTATTGAACTGCACTGGAGAAGCAACATCATTATTTAGCTATTTTGCTTTGCTAGCACTCCAGAACTTTGATCCAGAATAAGACCACGTCATATCAAGATGGACATGTTAAAAACTAGGGATGAAGTTAAGGGAAATGTAACGATCTGTGCGTGTCTATTGAATATTCTCTGGATGTTTCAACAGATAAAGCCTTTCTTTGTTAAGGATCCCCTTACCATTCATCTATAATGCTACCAAGATGCCAACTGTTGCTGTGCCCTAGCTCCAAATCTCCTATCAGAAAGAAATCAAAAGTATTTGAGTATTTGTGGAACAACGCAGAAAAATTTACTGTTAAGCTTAATTTATGCATTTTCATTGATTGCCTGTTGGTACTGTAGATGCTGACAAAAATAACATTACATCTGTTTTTATGCATTCTATACAAAATAGTAAAAAAAAGTATACTTACTTATACAGAATAGACTTTAAACTACTCATCACCACCTACAAAGCCCTCAACAACCTGACCTTTACCATCTCACCTCTTCCATCATCATGTCCCCTACCATTTTCTTAAAGGCATTTTGACCTCAATAGCTAGTCTTTTTAAATCCAGCACAATGTTTATCCTGTTCATTTCACACCAATGTATTTTAAAATAGACAATGAAATAGGGCAAATCGTATCCCCCAAACACATCCATCCAAACATGGTCACTTCTTGGTCGAAAAAAACAAAGGGAAGACTATGGAAATTCCAAATGTGAGGCTTCAACAGTCGTTCACATACATATTAGTGACATCCACTTGTTCCATATTTTTCATTAACAAATGATTTCCTCTGAAGGTGACTTAGGAAAGATGTCATTCCTGGTCCAATTTGTGATTGCTGTTATTGGGTATACTACTTTCTATTTATAACTTAGCGGAAGACAGAGCTACAGTATACACTATCATCTAACTTAACTTTTTCAACAGCATCGTGAATCACCAAAGAGTAAACGTGACTGCATCTGGTCTGACAGCATTATGCCGTAGCATAAAGTCTGTGTGAACGGAATTAGTTTGGGGGAAGTGGTACGTTAATGTAATTAGTAGTGGGATTTGTCTTTTAGTGAATGCTGGAACATGCCCTCTCAACAAGTTACTGTAGTGTGTGCAACCGTGTCAGATCCTGCCATAATTTACCGCTGGTTATTTGCCCTGTGAACATAATGTCAGGTGAAATTAGTCTCACTCAGATGATCCCCCTCATTTGTCTCATTAGCATGTAGGCACTCAAGAAGTTCATTTTGTCCCTGCCAGGGGCTAATTTCAAACCTTTTCGCATGAGTGAGATAGTGAGTTGTCCTACAATAAGATTACAATAAAATAAAACTTTTAAAAAAAAGCAGACCAGGAATAAATGTTACTTTTCTTGTAGTTGTTTTCCAAAGCCAATCATGAAAATAAGTATGTCATGTTGCTTATAGCAGGGATGATTACAGTTTTTTTTACAGCCATTATACATCGTATAGTGGCTGCCCCCGGGGTCCCCGGTCCCTACCCCATCATTTTCTCCCTAGGTGGCCGCAATTTGGCATGGTGTTCAATTGTGTGGGCGCATTGCTTCTGAAGGGATTCATTTACCATGGCCAAACACACGAGCTGTGTTTCTAAGACCACTCAGCAGTCGTTTTATTTCTTTCAAAAATCCAATATTGTGATTTCCTCAAGGTAAGGTAAGGTACATTTATTTATATAACACATTTTCAGGCACAAAGGCAATTCAAAGTGCTTTACATCTTCATTAACACTTAATAAGAAGACAACAGAAAGGAACACAATAAATACACATAATGGAATAACAGATTCATAAAAACCATGCATAAAAGAGATACAGAATAGTTTAAAAACAATATTGTAAATATGGCAGGTCCTAAAACAAGTTAAAATACTTCTGGGTAAGCAGCTGAAAAAAGTAGTGTTTTTATCCGTGACTCAGTGTTAGTGAAGACCTCAGGTTTTCTGGAAGTGTATTCCATTTTTGGGGAGCTAAAAAAAACTAAAAGCAGCTTCGGCGTGTTTGGTTAAGAAATATTTATCTTGCAAGGGGATTCATGGCACGAGCATCACAGCCTTTAAAGTATTGTGTTTTTTTAAATCAAAGTGTATACCAAAAAGAACATTTAATAAATGTCATGACAAAACTGCAACTGACAAAACTGCACTGCTGCCTGTTCATTTAATCTTTTCTGATCATCAATTTTGACTTTTGTTGTTAAAATGCTGTTCTTCGCTTTGATTTGTAATTGTTTATGACTTGAATTAATATTTCATTATTTTAAAAAAAACGACAACCAACAGCTGCAGATAATGTGTCAAAAAAATTAATTCCGCCTCAGGGTATCTATTCCTCTCAGTTATTTGGTGTCTATCTTTGATTTGTTTTGACGTCTTGTTTTAGTGTTAGGATGCTTTATTGTTCAGCGGCTGAGTTATGAGGTTGTTAGGAAACTCTACAAGCAGCTTGTGGGTTGTCATGTGATATTATTGTAGCTGTTGGTCAATTACTGCAATTCACCAGGAAATAAAACAGCAAATGTATTTTTTTATTCATGTGAACTATGCATTGCTTTGTTAAATAAAATATATTTATAACAGGGAAACATACCTAATTCATCAACGTATTGCATACGATTATTGTTATCATCCATCCTATTCCTACTAAGTGTTCTCTCATCACATTCAGTCTTGATCAAATCCACTTATATTGCATGATAGTGAAAAACATAACAAAAGTAATTTAACAGATATTCCTTCAGACCATATTTTGAGGAATCTGTTTATTGATGTGGCAAACATTATTTTATCTGTAAATAAAAACACACCTAATCCAACATGATTCAGACAACAACCTTCAGCTCTGCCAGCAAGTAAAACATATCCTGAGAGGAAACACTCTGCTTTCCCCTACACATCACAACATCTGCTGTATTTGCATGCTAGGCACACATTCCTGCTGTTAACAATGCCAGGTCTACATACACCAAAGCTAAAAGTCCTTGGAAAACAGTGTATGAGGATGGAGGTGTCTGTCGGCCTTGTTTCAGATTTATGTCAGGTTAGTCTCTAAGTATAGCAAACAAAGAGGAATAAATGATTATGCAATGAGTGGAGTCAATCTCTTCCTCCGAGCACACAGATGCAGAGCTTTTTGCTGCCTGTGCAAATAAAGTCTGATGGGTAACTGGGTCAAAATGATGGCATTCCAAAACTATACCAAAATACATTTGTTGTTTTTATCCCCACAGGTCTGAATTTATTACTGAATGGGGTAACATATCGACATTGCGATTCACGGCTCTTGATTAACAATGTGGGTAAGGGGTCTCAAGGGCATGTAAACTAGTGAAATCATGTTATTGATATTATCATATAGCATTGCAGATGGAAATAATTCAGTTTTCAATTACAAGGCTGACTCATGCCTTTGATGATGCGTGTCTTTAGGGAATTGCGCTACCTTGCACAAAAAAAGACAATGTTTTAGAAAGATACATTACAGGCCCAGAGGAAACATGTATGCATTCATTGTTTTATGTTTGCTTTGAATAGTTCATTAGGAACTTTAAAAGTCCTACAACAGGGATGTAGAAAAAATGACTAAGAGAAATTAGAAATGAGACTTCTACCAAACAAGTGTCAATGCAGCATTATAGTCTGCGGACCATTATCCTATAAGGTCAATTAAAAATATTGCAATGTATCTAACGTAAGCAAACAGCTATTATATTGCACAGGCACACTTCATCTGAACACCATATTGTATGAAGTGCCAGGGGAAATATAACAAATAACTTTCAGCACACAGTATGGAAACAGGATATTACATCTAAGGAACTGGCGTGCTGACTAAGGGAAGCTCCAAGGCGAGCAGCCTCTGAAGCCTCACAAAGGCCCAATTCATCCAGTTCAAGCACCTGGTGGATAACCATGGGCTGGAAACTGGGTGCAGCAAGGACAATGCAATGCAGCTCGCATTCAAAAGCTTCTTTAGAGATATGGTCTCAAAATCCCTGACCAGCCAATTGTTACCGGGTTATATTCATGTTGCTTTTGCTCTGATACTCATTTGTAATTGCACTTACAATTGTGGATATTAAGATATTTTCGTGCATGGTGATTTTGTTGACGTTAGCCTTCTTTCATTATGAGATACCCCATTGTTGAATGTATGAAAAATAATAATTGCAAATGATTGTAGTTTAACCTCATTAAAACCATTATAAATTTAGTAAAAAAGAAGAATCTGTCGTCGATCCCACCACAAAATACTCTCTTATAAGTTATGATGGTAAACAAATACAGAAGATACTTCAAATCATAACAGTATGACATA